CGGCTTACATAACAGAACAATTTGACTTATAGCCATGTCTGGAGGTGGCTGCATGAGAATGGAAATTTGTGATTTATTATGCCACAAGACTAATTTGTCACCAGATCTACTCCAACGTGCATGTTGTCAATTTGTTATCAATGTTTTGTTAAGTTAATTGGTATTTTCCTCTGTGAATGGTTATTTTTGGTTCATTCAGGCATGTAAGCTGCCGTATCATTTTCCAAATTATTTAATCCTGCTCTCTTTTCGTAATGGTGTTCTGTTCACAAGAAATGTGTGTTTTCAGAAAAGCTATTCTTGACAGATGGTTAAAATGACTAAATTATCATGTGAAGGCAATCAGCCGTTATACTAATAACTGTTTGCTCATACCTGGGTTGCTAGCAATTTGGAGACAAACTGTAAATAAAGCTATAAAAAGAAAAGCCAGGCCATATGCTTTTATAGAACTGGTTTATCTTCTTTGTAAGGCTGATAACAGTGTTGTTAGATCATTTACGTGGAAGTGTTTCTGTAATTGTACATACTTACGACTTGATGGAGCACTTGCTATGGTTTGCTGAGTGCTGTGAGTGCTAGCATCTCTAAATATTCTTGTTACTTCAAAAAAATTGTTTTGCAGGGACTTTTTAACATGTTTCTGTTTTTTCTCAAACCTTTGATCAAGTTTTTAAATGGCTGACAAGTTAAAGAAGGCAGATGTGAAAGATTACAGAGCTACTTGGGGCACATGGGTTTTCAGAGCATTGAATCCAAGGCAAATATAAACTTTTTTTAGGAATATGTACTGTTTGCTTTGCTAGATCAGAGTTGGACCTTAAATGTTATATCAGTGCTATGATATCTGGTGTAGTGGATATATGTATTTCTATGTACCCAGTGCTACACTTTGCAAGACATCTTTATCTGTGATAGCCTTACAAAATTGTTAATGGAATAGGGAAGAATTGTACCATCAGTTCACACTATTTTGTCACCTTTCAGCAGTTGCTTTCTTTGACAGCTATAAGTACCATCAGCTAGTGTGCCACTGGCAATACTCATGGTTTTAGCCGCAACCCTTCTCGTATGGTTCTGTGTTCTGTCACTGTTACCACTTCCCTTCCTAGACTACAATGTCCAGTGTCCCCCCCCCTCCCCCCT